GGGAGCTCAGGAGGAGGGGGGAGAACTGGCCGCTAGATTCAGGGCTGGCAGAGGGTACAGTGCGGTTGGCCGGGGAAGATCCGGAGCAGGAACTGGCCAGCAGGAGGCAGAGCTGGCGTCGGGGAGACTGGCCGGGGAAGACTGGGAGGAGAAGTCAGGGAGACCCAGCCAGCCAGCTAGCCATCTAGGAGAGGGGAGGGGAGTGAATCAGCCGACGGGGAGCAGGACTGACCCGGGCTGTGCAGATCTCAGGGCACTCCCATCCCGCACGAGTCAGTCTGGCTGCGGCTCCACCACACGCTTGACCAGTGCGCAGGAGCATGGACCGGGCTGCCCCTCCTCCTCCTCACACGCAACCAGGGCTCCCAGCGCCGATCGCGCCCCGCTTCCCAGTCCCTCCTCCCGCCCCCGCCAGGCTTCTGTCCGGCGCCCAGCCGGAAAACCAGGAAATACCAGACATTGCACATGTCCGGTATTTTCTGGATTTTTTTTACCGGGCAGAGGGCCCAAAAACTGGACTGTCCGGTAGAAAACCGGACACCTGACAATCCTAATTCCAAGTACAGTAGAACTTCAGACATATGAACATTTCAGAAATGGAGGTTGTTCATAACTCTGAAGTGTTAGTATCTCTGAACAAAATGCTATGGTGGTTCTTTCAAAAGTTTACAAAAGCACATTGACTTTACTCCGCAGAAGAAGAATGCTTCTTTCCCATTATTTTTCTAGTAGTTTACGTTTAACACAATATTTAGGTTTTTTTCCCCTCCGCTGTTGCCTGATAGTGTGCCTCCCAATTCCAAATGAGATGTGTGGTTGACTGTTCAGTTCATAACTCTGGTATTAGTAACTAAGATTTTACTGTAGCTCACATGTAGAGTCTTCATTCATGACTCTGTTATGTAAGGATTAGCATAAGCACCACCATTCTTACACACTTACGTGGCTTATGAATACGCAAATCTATATAAAAATTGAGTACCCCATATATGCTGCTACATCTGCTGAATAAAGTACATATTTTTGACCAGCTCCTCCCCTAGTATAAATCAGTATATCTTCACTGACTTCACTAAACTTCTCACTCTTCCCCCTAAATCCACTGCTCTGTACACCGCAACTAGCCACCCAAAAAACCAGCCAAACAAGGAATTCTATGTCAGTCTAATTCTTGGAACCTTTGAATATAATTCTGTAATGGTGAATTTATACTGGTGTGGGTGAGAGAATCTGCTGTCTTTTTCACTAGGTCTTCACTCTTTTGCTAATTAACTTTGCAATACTCTCAATTGCTCTCACAAATATAAATGACATAAAGAGCTATATGCAATATTGTTGCAGCCTTGTCAGTCCTTATTGGAGAGAGAAGGTAGTATCTTTTATTGGACCAACATCTGCTGATGAGATGAGCTTTTGAGTTACACAAAGCTCTTCCTCAGATCTGAGAAAGGTACCCAAGTTGTGTTACAACTGAGCACAGGGCCAAACAGAGAGTTTAGCATAAGTAGATATTACAGATCTGTTAATCAGCTACCGTTCTTTTAATCTCCTTTTAGGAAAATGCTAAGTATAATATAATGAACAACAGATGCAAAACCTACAGATATCTCTTCACTGCTCCAGTGATCTATGACCCCCCCCATGCATCATTCAAGATCCTACACATGCCTATCACTACATATGGTGTAACTCATTCAGTGCATTAAATACCCCAGTAACAGCTATGTGAGTGAAACTAGACCGAGTTCTTGAATGAACTTACATAGGAAAATGATAAAAGATAGGAATGCCACTTTTCCCTAAGTGATCACTGACCTATCAGTCCTCATCCTCAAAGGAAACCTGCACAATGCATTCTGAAGATGATCTTGGAAGCTTAAATTCATAATTTTTCTCGATGCTTAAAATTATTATCTTAATTAAGATACTGTATTAATTGCTTAATACAACAATCGGTAATCCTCTAACCTTTTTTTTGAGCTATGACTACAAGAGTGTTTAAAAGGCCACTTCCACCTGAATGGTCCTTTAGAATATGTGCAAAGTATATTAAACTACCTGTTTGATCTTGTGTTTGGCTGTTACACTCAGAATACCTGCACCAGAATTGAGGAAGAGCTTTTGTGTAGTTTGAATGCTTGTCTCTCTTACAAACAGAAGCTGTTCCAATAAAAAATACTACCTCACTCACCTTGTTATACTCAAGAGCTGACAGGTGTTAGCACTAATTTTTGAAAATATGTTCCCTTAATTAAGGGCTTCAGCATTGAATTTATTCACTAAAAAGTAGCAATTGATACTATTAGCAAATTGATACAATCAATGGACCACACAAAGCCACCAAATCTGTGTTCCCTGCAAACTTTGTCCTTAGAGGCAAGCCTTTTGGAAACTAGTCACTGCATTTAAATCAGGTTTTGTAAGTGTATACTTTCAATTTTATCTTTACTCTACTGAGAATTTCATCACAACACTCTTGGTGTTTTTTATTTATAGAGCCTCCAGAAGAGAACAATTCACACCAACAACTACTTACTTCAATGTTGATCCTGCTTCTTGTGTTCATCATTTTCATTCTTCTAGCTGGCTATTTTTTCAGGTAGGGAGCTGTTAAGTGCTGCACTCATTGGTCATGTTTTGATATGATCTAATAAGGAAATGAAAGCATTTCTACATATATGCGGTAACTGAAGTTTCAGATCACAGTTTAGAGAAGCAAAGCATGTCGTATGCAACGGTTAATAATACAACACAACACTCTGAAGATGAACAGAAAGAGTTTCTCCAGAATTACGTGGTTTGTACATGTTCATCTGGAAGAGTATCTGTTACCTTTCAAACACAATTATGCAAATTAATTTTGGTTTTGGTTTTTTAAGGTTCAGAAAACATAGGAAAGCTGTTGTGAACTCTAGTGACAAAAAGATGCCAAATGGAATCTTAGAAGAGCAAGGTAATGAAATTTGGCTTTGTTTTTTAGCAAGAATTTTACTCTGTGTGTGTTTGTCTCTGTGTGTGTGTGACTGTCTGTCTGTGTGTTGTGTATACTCACATTAATTCTGGAAATTAAGAATTTAATTATTTAAACTTTGAGGTGTATATTCACATTAATTCTGGAAATTAAGAATTTAATTATTTAAACTTTGAGGATTAGTTGTATCACTGTCTTTGTTTCTTTGTTGTATCACTAGTGCTGTCTTTGTTTATTTAAAAGAAAACGAAGGAACCTTTGCTAATTTTTAAAAATAATTCCCCCTTTCTTCTCCTTTCTGTTTCATCATTTGCAACTTAACATTATAACTTTCCCGGATTTTGTTTCTCCATTGCAATGCTGTGTAAGTGGTTTGTTAGTGAAAGATTCCTTATGACCTTTAAGTTATCAGGAATAGTCTAGATGGTACTGGGTCCTGCCATAAGGGCAGGGGACTGGACTTGATGACCTCTCGAGGTTCCTTCCAGTTCTAGTGTTCTATGAGTCTATGATCTGCACCTGTTTCACTTTAAGATAAAAGGGATTAAAATGTTTGTTTTAAAACAAGACTTGTGTTTAAATAACTGCTTTTGCAACTCAATAGACAAATTAAAACATAAAAGGGTGGGATGAAATGGAAGTTACTGTAAGAGAATAGCATTAAAAAAAGATGCAGTCCAAAAAGAGAAAATATTCGCCAATGGATTTTCTAATGTTTTTATTAAGAAACAGTGTATCAAATTAGACTAGATTTCAACCATCAAGCACAATAAAGATTCAAAGATGGCAAAGTAGATTGGGAATTATAGGTCATCCATATATTACTCATGACACAATAATGGGGGGGGGGAGAGAAAAGAGTAAAGGAAAAAAGTAATCACAAGGGAAAATTACCTTCCTTTTCTGTGGCTTTCATGTTGCTTCTTGCAAACTGAAAACATTGGTTTATTTGTAGTTCTAAATATAAACCAAATGAGCATAACTTCCTGTTCAGTGTTACATTTTCTAATATCAGTTAGAACATATTGGAATTTTCAGTGTATTGAGATACACTAGCCAGCAAGCAGATTCTACTATTACTCTGTGGAATGGCTAATACAGCAACTGATATGCAGCATGGTTGTTGAAAGTAGTGTTGTGTCTGTCTGTTTGTAGAGAAGTGTTTTTGTTTTCTTTTAAACAAATCTGTTAATCTCAAGGAAACTTCCTGTATTATGATTTCACAACTCTTCCAACTTCACTGTTGTTTTAAAATGCGGTATGTTTGCACACTGGATCTAATTTTCTAATTGGTCTACTGGTGCACAGTGGCCATAAAGCTAGCAGATGTAGCTGGTGGAAGGGAATTCCAGAGTAGCAGGTGCTACGTAAAACCATCCCACAGGGGATGGAATTGCTGTAAAAGAACAGTCACTTTAACTGTTGCCATCTGTACTCAGAGCAGCCAGCAACTTGGGACTGGTGTAGCCAACTGGAGACTGACCTCCTTTTGTTTTCTGTGTGGTGCAGAAAGACTAGACTAGACCATGTGTTTGCATGTTTGCAGGTATGTATTGGTGCTTACAATGAAATGCTGGTGGAAAAGTATACTTTCTGAATATAGGTCCAGTTTGGCTGCATGGTGCAAATATTTATTTATTTATTTATTTGCTGTTTTGGAACAGAAGCTAAATTCAGGTACAGATGCTTCCTATATTTTTTGGTTACAGATAACTTGTTTGAAGCAATCCAAAATTATCTCGTGAATTTGTTTACTGAGAGCAAAACACTTATCTAAATGTAGTTTTTGTAAATATTGCAGTGTTTCTGGCGTCTGGCAAAATGTGGCTTATTTTTGAGAAATAAAACCATTTGTAAAATAGATTTACAAATTATTTTCCTTAAATTATGTATCTTAAAAAAATTCCCTTCAACCTCATGCTTCTCAGAGAGGAGCTCTTGGTGAGTTTGAGGAACTGATAGGCCATGCTCCCTCCCCAAATGATGTTTCGTCACATTTGTATTGTTACAAATTAAAGTTATAAACTCTAATTATTAACATTAGTACACCAGCTTTTGGCATTGTTTTAATCCTGTGTGTGTTCAGAGAAATCACCTGGCTAGTTATTTTTATGAAAATCAACTATGTTACTAGATTGATTGCCGTACTTTTGTAGCCATTTCAGTTTTAGGATGTTGGCCCAGTAACAGATATTATCTTGCCCACCTGTTCCTTTTTCCAAGGTGTTTCACAAAACTAATTGGGTCGCCATTTGAATAATGGAATAGCTAGTTGTCCCTCTTTCAGGATATATTTTTAATATTTATTTTCTTTGGTTTGACAGAACAGCAAAGAGTGATGCTACTTAGCAGGTCTCCTTCTGGCCCCAAAAAGTACTTTCCTATTCCAGTGGGGCATCTGGAGGAAGAAATACGGATAAGATCAGCAGATGATGGGAAACAGTTTCGGGAAGAATATAATGTATGTTTGTTTCATTTTTGTGTTGTTTTTTGCCACAGGGAAGGGGCATATAAAATCAAGAATTGACATATGTGACGTTGAGATTTTTTTCTAATTAAATGTGTGTCTAGTGCAGGAGTAGGCAATAATTTTTTGCTGGTGGCCACTTTGGAAATTTTTGAAGTGGTCCCGTGCCGCACAGGAAGGGGCAGGGCCAAGATATTTCCAGGTTCCCCACCCCCAGAAAGTGATTGGTCTGGGGGTGAGGGAGTGCCTTTGCCCCCACCCCAAGTTTCCCCAAGGTGCCCATGCCCCTGGTGTGGGAGGAGACTTCCCTCGCTCCCCTTCCCCTAGGCCAATTAGGGTCTGGGGTCAGGGGAGCACGCGAAGCCTCCTCCGCTCTCCCCACCCTCCACCCCTGCAAGCAGCGCACGGTGCTGTGCTCCTGACAGAGTGGGAGAAGGCTTTGCGCAGTCCCCCACCCCCAGGCCAATTAGGGCCTTTGGGCAGGCGAGCTCATGAAGCCTTCTCTGCTCTGCCCCCACCCTGCAAGCAGTGCGTAGTGCTTGAAAGCACCGCGTGCTCCTGGCAGGGTGGGAGGAAGCTTTGCGGTGGAACGCTATGAAGCACTGCACACTGCTCGCAGGGTGGGGGCAGAGTGGAGTGGGAGAGCAGCAGGGTCTCCGTGAGCTGGATCCACCTGCTTGGCAGGCCGGATCCAGCCCGCAGAAGCCCTTTTGCCCACCCCGGTCTAGTGGCACTTATAGCATGAGGAATTCTGGGCAAGCACAGAGTAAGTTTCTCCACACAGAATAAGTTTCTGCACACAGATTGCTGATGTTCTTCATTTCTGATGTTTAGCACCCAGTTACTTCAGTTCTGGTCCTGAGAGAGACTGATGTGTGTTGAAGTGTGCAGTTGTTTAGCCATGGAGACAAACGTCTAGTGGGACCTGTGGTGGAGACCTTAAGCTGATTCTTATTTGTTCTCTCTCCTGAGTTTGAACACAGAAGTGTCTTGCGTACAACTATGATCCATTGAGCTATCTCTCTCATTCTCTCCCTTCCTCGGTGCTGGAGTACAGGCCTCTGTTTTACAGAAGAGTTATAAATTTTAATTAGAGTTGTGATAATTACACATCGTATTTGGTAAAACTGAACTGTTTTATTTTATCAAAGTCTGGGATCTTAAACTGTGCAGCCTTGGTGCAGAAAAAGAACAGAGGAGAGGAAAGGCAGTCAGAAAGCTCTGCGGCATTCAAGCCTCTGAGGATGACGGTCTCCCCTCTGTAAGAGGGGATAAGAGACCTAAGGTCTTTTTAATCAATAGCTCAGTGATCTTTGAGAAACGTTGCTCTTTGGAGTTCTGCTCAGTTCTGTGGTATTTGTAAGGAGGGTGAGTGCCTCTTGGCAGTTCTCCAGTACACCCATTTTTTCAGCAGCATTATTAGCAGAGGAGTGGTGGTTCCAATTGCTATCTGAGCAATACGGTTTTCCTGAAGTATTTCACTTGGTCAGAAAAAGTCAGCATGTTTGCTCTCCATTGCCCTAGATTTGCAGTTGCTTGGTGGCTGTATAGACAGGTTTTGCCCAGTACTTCTGAAGGTGGGAGGAAGTATGCCATATTGGGTCCACTCCCGAGCTTCTGTGATATTAGGGGCCATGTCACACCCACTTGTTATTCATTTCTATTTCCCTCAGCATATCAAGGCAGAACTGAACAGCATAGAACCATATATAGTTTATTAAATACAGACTCATCTGGGCCAATACACAGCTATCTATTAGATAGTGTAAGATAGTGGCTGTGGGACTGAAATATAGTATTAAGTGAGCTTCAAATTAGCAGCATTTTTTATGTTGGTGATTTGATTATATGTTTGACTTGTGTCTTTGTTGTCAATATCAAATGTTAGGATTACCTGAGTAGATTTAACATTTAAAAAAATGTCAATTTAGGAACAGTTTGGATCTTAGTACACTAGTACATTTGTTAATTTTGAATCTCCCAACTAAAAAAATCCAGTATAGTAAGTGGTGAAACCTAGCCATCTATTTTCTTTAAATGTACATTGCTTTGCTTGTGTTCTACATTGCTCTCTCAATGTGGACTTTTGCCTGAAAAGTGAATGAGTCTGACCATTATGGTCAGAGGTCTATTCATGTAAAGTTACATGCAAAGCAATATCTTAAAACATTGAGGAGAATGGCCCAAAAGGTATTCTTTCCGGGGTTTGAGCACACTATTGCTTACAGCTGCTTGCTTGAAAGATGAGGTTGTTTGCTCTTCACTTAGTATTTTCAGATGCCAGAATGTGAACAGTTAGTTGTCTCTAGCGGTTAGAGCAGGAGTTGGAATAGTAGCCAGGAATAGAAACAAAAGACTGAAGCTGGAATCAGAGGCCAGATGTCAGCACAAAGAGTCAGAGTTGAAGTCAATGGTCAGAAAACCAAGCCAAGGTTCAAAACTGAGGCTGCACTAGGATGAGGCAAGGGCAGGATTGGAACAAGGCAGAAGCAAGGCTGGGAACAAGCAGAAGCAATCACAGCCATTGGTGAATGCTTTGGGCAGCCACCAAATTGCTGCTGCTGAGATAAGAGCTGGTCTGGGGCTCTTCCAACTAATCAGGCAGTGGAGCCAGTGAGGTAGTCTGTTGCTGGCCAGCTGAGCTTGTTAGGTTGCCTGGAATATGGCTCTCCTGCAGGCCCTCATAACTGACAGGTGTCAGTAAAGGAAGAAAAAATGGTGATAAGATGGAAAGTGATATGCTCAAAAGCAGTAGAACTGTAAAAAAGGTCTAACATTTCAATACCAGTCGCAAAAGGAATGTATTAAGAAACTGGAACCTCCTGGCACAACAAAAAAAATTTTGACGGGGTGCTATTTTTTCCATATTTTTTTTTGCAAATTTTCCCTTAAAATAACCCCAAACAATCCTTGAAATCATGAAAAATAGACCTGTCAAGAGATTTAAAAAATAATCACGATTATTTGTGCAATAATCACACTGTTAATAATATAATACAATTCTGAGAATACAAAGTGAACAGTGTTTACTTATAATTATTTTCATTACAAATATGTGCGCGGTAAAAACAAAAGAGATGTTTAAGTGTACCTAAGACAAGTACTGTAGTGCAATGCCTTTACTGTGAAAGTGTAACTTACAAATGCAGATTTTTTTTTTATACATAACTTCACTCAAAACCAAAATGAAGTAAAACTTCGGAGCCTACAAGCCACTCAGTCCTATTTCTTGTTTAGCCAAGAACTTAAGACAAACCAGTTAGGTTACACTTTGCAGGAGATCATGCTACCCCCTTCTTGTTTATGATATCCCCTGAAAGTTAGAACAAGCATTTGCATAGCACTCTAGTTGCCAGTGTCGCAAGATATTTGAGCCATATGTGCTAAAGATTCAAACGTCCTTTCATGCTTCAACCATCATTCCAGAGGACATGCATTCATGCTGATGGTGGATTCTGCTCAATAACAATCCAAAGCAGAGTGGATGGATGAATGTTCGTTTTCATCATCTTGAGTTAGATGCCACAATCAGAAGGCTGACCATTTTTTTTTCTGGTGCATTGGGTTCTGCAGTTTCCTCATGGGAGCATTACTCTTTTAAGACTTTGGAAAGCATGCTCCAACTCAGTTTTACTTAGATTTTGGACAGCACTTCAGATTCTGAAACCTTAGGTTGAGTGCTGTAGCTATTTTTAGAAATCTTTGTGTTTTGTCAAATGAATATGTGCTGGTCATCAACTGAGACAGATATAACATAAAGTATATGGCAGAATTGGTAAACCAAAACAGAGAACATACAATTCTCCCCAAGAAGTTCATTCACAAATTTTAATGAATTCCACCAGCACGGAAGCATGTCCTCTGGATTGGTGGCTGAAGCATGAAGGGGCATATGAATGTTTAGCATATCTGGCATGTAAATATCTTTAAATGCCAGCTGCACAAATGCTATGCGAATGCTTGTTCTTATTTCCTGGTGACATTGTAAACAAGAAGGGAACAACATTATCTCCTGCAAATTGTAACCAAACTGGTTTGTGTGAGTGATTGGGTGAACAAGAAGTAGGACTGAGTATACCTTGTAGACTGTAAGTTTTACCTCAGGGGTGGACAAAAGGGCCTCCGCAGGCCAGACCCAGCCTACCAAGCGAGTGGATCTGGCCCACAGAGGCCCTACTGCTCCTCTGCCCCTAGGCCAATTAGGGCCTGAGAGCAGGGGAACATGCGAAGCCTCCTCCCACCCTGCCAGGAGTACGTGGCACTTTGAAGCGCCATGCGCTGCTCGCAGGGGAAGAGGGGGCAGTAGAGGAGGCTTCGTGTGCTCCCCCACCCTTGTCTCTAATTGGCCAAAGGGCAGGGGAGCGAGGGAATTCTCCCCTCATGCCAGGGGCATGGGCACCTTGGGTGAATGTAGGGTGGGGGCAAAGCACTCCCTTACTCCCAGGCCAATCATTGTCTGGGGGTGGGGAACCCAGCAATATCTTGTCCACACCCCTTCCACTTGATATCCCACCCCTTCTGCTCAATACTCCACCCCTTCCTTTGTGTCCTGGGGCAACTTCAAAAGTTTCCAAATTTCCAAAAAAATTATTGCCCACCCCTACTTTACGTTGTTTTCTTTCTGAGTGCAGTTATATAACCAAAACAGATCTACTTTTGTAGGTTACACTTTCATGTTAAAGAGATTGCCCTACAGCATTTGTATGAAGTGAATTGAAAAATACTATTATTTTTACAGTACAAATATTTATAATAAAATAATAGAATGAGCCCTGTTTTTTGTATTCTTCGGGGTAATTGAAATAAAAATATTTGAAAATGTAGAAAAACACCCAAGCCTTTTAATACATTTCAATTAGTATTCTATTGTTTAACAGTGTGAACAAAAACCTTCTGTTAGCGAGAGAGTTGCTCACCCATCTTCCTGGTGGAGCACTGGGAAGTCCCATAATATTTTGCTAGTGATCTATCCAGGACTGGAGTTGATATTAGCTCCCGGCAGGCACTCTTGCTATTTTCAATCTCGGTAATCTTTGTTTAAAAAATAAAACTGTATGTTTAATTAAAGTTAAAGACCATTATCAATTCTTGAGGCCTCAGGAACTGCAGTGTTTAACAGATGGCTGAGGGTACCGATTAAGGGAGCCAAACCTCCAAAAATGTTTCAGGTACTTTGGCAAAGCTACATAGTGCCTTTAATAGGCCTTTTAAAAATTTTCAGTGTACACCTAGATAAATAATTTGAAACTAGGACCATGAAAAGGGGTAACAGAACTCTGTCTTGTAGGTGTTTTCTTTTTTCTGTTTGTTTGTGGAAAAAACTCTCAGCATTCATCCGCTATCTTTCTTTACAGCAAATAATTAAATACCGATATGCTAACTAGTTGTTTGGGGGTGGGGTTCCATAAATTCACCATAAATGTGCCTTATTTATATTTATCATTATTTATTTATATAGCAGAAAAAGTACTTGGTGCTTTGCAGATATGTATGAGAACCAGATTATTGCCTCAGAATTTACCCTGATCCTGCTAACACTTATGCACATGATTAACTTGAAGCATGTCAGTGGGATTCCCCGTGCAAATACATTCCAGTCAGACAGAAAGACATGGAACATGAGGGAAGGAGAGTGGCATAAGAACAATGACTGAGCATATGTATTCTTCATCCCATTTTATTTTTCCAGCGTGCTTAATAGAATTTTCCATATGCATAAGTGTTGGCAGGATTAGACCCGCAAAGAATAGTTTGAGATTTTGAACGTGCTTATCTGGCACACAGTTACTGCTGGTTTTTCAGTGCCTTCCCATACTGTATAATAATTTGTTTTAGAAAGTTTAAAACATTTTACTGGGGTTTGATTGATGGTGCAATTCAGACTCAGAAGACTGAAATTTTTAACAATGTAGATACATGGTGAGACTATGGTTTCTAGTGGTGTACACGGATCTTACCACTTCCCCTCAAAGAGCATGAGAGAGTGAGTGAGTGGAGGAGGGGAGGGAATTTAGCTATCTTCATGGAAGAACCTCCTGACCCAGAAGTTGTCTTCCCCAATTCAGATTCTGAGGACTTAGAATGTGGGGAGTAGGCAGGACAGGTCATGCAAGTCAGATGAGGCAGGTACACATTGTCCCCTTATGGAGATAGGAAAAAATGCATCCTCCTGCACAGTACAAAACTCCCCTTTAAGCAATGTAGCAGGCCAGCAGCTGTCACAGGAAATTCTGTTACTTTGATTCCAGTGGACATGTTACCATGCAGGCAGGAGCTGTTGTGAGCATTGAGCAGACACACAGCACTAGGCACCCACTCGCAGCCATCATAGGCATTCTCTTAAGTGCTATGTTAATTTAAGCTATAACCTCGGCTTTGCTCCTATTTTGAGTCCTGTCCAGGCGCACAAACTGTTAACTCATTTATGGAGGTGCTTTTAATTTGATTTGTCTTGAGGTATATAGGCTAGAGTTTGAGTGAGCATTACTCAGCAGCAGCAAACACTTGTGTGGACACAGACTAGTGCTATTCAGTATTTAGTTTTTTAGTGCCTTCCAGTATTCCCCATTTGCCCCAAAAAGGCAGACGGGCTGTCTCACAATTCACTGGGAAAGAATTTGTAGAGTAGTTTAACTTAATGAAGCTTAGGATATGTGCTCCAGAAGTCTTAGTCCACACAAGACCCAGTTCAGCATCCGTGTGGACACACAGCAACTTGAATGTGATTTCTCGGAATGGCTGCTCCCACATGAGCTAGACGAGCTAGAGTAACTTGAGAGGAGTTGTGCAAGTGTAAATAATTGAAGTTAATTCTGTGGTGAAGAGCTATACCCTATGCTATACCCATTTGTTCTGAAGGAAGTAGTATACTGAAACCAAAAACAAAAATATGCTAGTCTTCCATGATAAAAATTAACAAAAAGCACTTTATATTCATTGTTCAGTCATGACAATGCTGCTTCAGATGTCTTTTTAAAGGGGAATTCCATATAATTCATTGCCAGAATCAGGAAGGGATTGCTGCAATGAGTGTTTCTTGAAATAGATACTGTGTCATCTTTCTCTTAAGTGATTCATAAATACAGCTGTGTTCAGTTTGATCAAGTTCCTGGGGGAAAAAAACAGTTGAAAGAAGGGTGGGAAAAGACAGAAACAATTACTGTGCTTCTGACATGTAGAACTACTGTGGCTGAGTGAGAGAGAATAAAAATTACTTGAGGATTGTGACCTAGGTAAAGAACTTGAGCCTGATTCTCATTTACATTGTCAGTTTTTACACAGTTCTGGTAGCATAAAGGGTCTCTGTAGCTAGCAATGGCCCTGAATCAGCTTCTCTCAGCTGGCCCTTTTAATCACTCCCACCTGACTTGTCCAGAGTAGCAGCAAAGTTCTTTCAAATAAACAAGAATTTGGAATTAAAATTCCACATCCAAATACCCCTTTCTCAATCCCCTCCTCCCCTGAGTCCCACAGGTGTTTAGACTGGGTTTTCAATGTGCCCTCTTTTCCCCCCGCCCCCTTCCAAGTTTAGGAGGCAATTTGCTCTTCTCTGGGAGTTATTGCTGTCGTCTTCCTTTTCTCCCTATCCTTTTTTTCTCTTTCCTTTTCTTTCTATCCTATTTTTTCACATAATCTTTTCCTGTTAATTTCCTATTAATTAATCTCATTTTGATTGCCCTGACAAAAGCATTTTATTTTCAGGTGCTTAATATGTGACTAAGAGTTTATTCACAATCCCAGGTTTAACTGATTAAAGCAGGTTGGTTAAACCTTGGTTATCATTTCAGTCATCTGAATAGCCTAGCAACGCCCAAGGTCACTCTTAGACTCAGGGCATAAAAGTGATACAAAGTCACTTTTGGATCCCCATTGCTCCAGCTCTGGCCTGAGCTAAATGGAGTGGATATGTGATACAGTTTTCTTAACATTTATTAAACTTTCTTTGTCAATCAAATATATTCATGTATTAAAATCAAATTTGATCCATACCAGCCAATTTCAAAGGTAGAGTTCCATGTTGTTGTACACCCACATCTTTGTGACTGGATCACAGCATTACAAGTCATCGTATCATATGCTCTTTGCGATGGCAACTTGAGTCTCAACAATTTATTTGCTCTCTTAGTAACAGTCACAATGTTCTTCATAATTACAATTTAAAAAGTAGTGTTGCATTTCTGAGTTATGAGCTATTCTAGAATGACGGAGAAAATAGCTTTTTTCAAGAATTACAGTGCACTGAGAAATTAATTCTCTTAGACGTAGGCCATTATATGTTTTCACATATTTCCTTACATATTATGCAACTAACAGGTAACATGGGATATTCTTGCATTTGCTTGACTTTACCTGTTTTTGCTGTAGTCATTACCAGCTCGATGCTTGCAAGGAACATTTGAAATGGCAAATAAAGAAGAAAACAGAGAGAAAAATAGATATCCCAACATCCTTCCTTGTAAGTTTTTACAGTTTATTTTCTAAATATCAATCAAATGTCTGGATGCCTCCTATATCAACCACGTCTGTAATGTTGTCTGCATTCACTGAATATACCTGAGTAAAGCTCATTAATTGATAAAAATGCTATTTATATGACTAATTACATGTCAGTAAAGTAAGTTCAGTTGTAGTTGGCATCTCTTTGGATAACAGTTGCCTTTCATTAAATTTGTCTTTAATTCTGTATGTTTTTATATGAATTCTTAGAATTTTTCAAAAGTGTAATATGACTTTCTTGAAACTCAGTTCCGTTTTGTACAATAAATAAGAGCTTTGAGCTTTGGACCAGGCTTGAGGTATCTAGCAAAAACTCTATCCATTACAAATGTGTTCCACACTATGCAAAAAGTATTGCATTCTCAATAACCCAGTATGATTATGGAGGTGCAGCAAGATTTTTATCATGAGGGCTTATTGACCTGATACCTAAAGGCTTTGCACAGTGTACAATTACAAAGAGACCTCTTCACAATTGTTAAACAAATTATTTCATGTCTATTCACCTTAAAGTGCCTTTGAAACAGGTGAGCTTTGAAACATTTCTTCAAGGTCACTCTTTGCAGGCTCAGGTGTGGAAAATAATGTGTAAGGGACCAAAATCTTCCATAAGTTTTACATCAACAACGTCAGCATGATTTGGCCAATACGTCAGAACTGTTATATACACCTTTGTATTAGTCAACCTTTTATGATATTTAATGATGGCAGAATAATAATGCAAATACTATGGTTCATAAAAATGAGACTTAATCACTGGCATGTTATAGTGCTTAGTATTTTGAGGAAAAAATCTGATTGATGTAAATACTATAACTCTGTCTACCATACAGACCCTAATAACACAGTTACTTTCTTTCTTCCCAGATGATCATTCCAGAGTAATTTTGTCCCAAATAGAAGGAATTCAGTCTTCAGACTATATTAATGCTTCATACATAGATGTAAGCTAATATTTTTTTTACTTTTGTTCAGATTGTTCATTTTAATTGTAAACTAAATGTCAAATAGACAATTGTCAAAGCATATCTTGGCTTTTCATTTTTTAACTAACCATACTTTTTATTTCTCTAGGGTTACACAGAAAATAATAAATTTATAGCTGCTCAAGGTAATGTATTTTCCTGTTTCCATTTTTGTACTTCCGTACACCAGAATACAATCCTCCTCCTTCCCCACTACCTCCCTCTAAAAACCTCACGGCACACACCAATGTTAATGTATTTTCAGGTCAAAAATTTCGTCCTGAGCATAAATAAGTTGGTCTGCAGAATCATGGACATGGAAGTCAGTTGCAAGTTAGAAACCCTAAACTGAGCCTATTGCCTGAACGTCAGCACATAGTGTACCTAGAGGGAAGGGGTATTAGCTGCTGCTCTTAGAAAGGTGGGACAGGCCTGCTCCCCAAGCAGCAGTGTTTATATCCCATACCTGTAAACCAATCTGCCTTGGAGCATGGAGTGGGTTGAAATGCCAAACTACTGCTGTAAATATTCGTCCATTCACCCCACCCAGTCAATATGGAAGATAGATAGACCCAACCCAGTTTCTGCCTCTAATGTGGCAGGTAAAAGTGAGAACAGTATTTTGAAGGGGGAGAGGTAAATACGTTGGAGGGCAGAGATAGGGTCCAGAGTGACCTAGACAGATTAGAGGACTGGACCAAACGAAATCTGAAGAGGCTCAACAAGGACAAGTGCAGAGTCCTAATCTTGGGACGGAAGAATCCCAAGCATTGTTACAGGCTGGGGACCGACTAAGTAGAAGTGTGGCAGAAAAGGACCTGGGGATTACAGTGGATGAGAAGCTGGATATGAGTCAACAGTGTGTCCTCATAGCCAAGAAGGCGAATGGAATATTAGATTGCATTAGGAGGACCATTGTCAGCAGATCTAGAGAAGTGATTATTCCCCTTTATTCTGATGAAGCCACATCTGGAGTATTGCGTCCAGTTCTGGGCCTCCCACTACAGAAAGGATGTGGACGCATTGTAGAGGGTCCAGCGGAGGACAACCAAAATGATTAGGGGGCTGGAACACATGTTCTACAAGGAGAGGCTGAGAGATTTGGGCTTATTTAGTCTGCAGAAGAGAAGAGTGGTGGGGGGGGGGGGGGGAGGGGGGACAGTTTTCTGTAGCTGGGGACGGGAGTGGGGACAGAGTTCTGTAGCTGGGGACGGGAATGGGGACAGAGTTCTGTAGCTGGGGACAGGAAGGTTACAAAGAGGATGGAGAAGGGCTGTTCTCAGTAGTGACGGATGGCAGAACAAGGAGCAATGGTCTCAAGTTACAGTGGGGGAGGTCTAGGTTGGATATTAGGAAAAACTATTTCACTAGGAGGGTGGTGAAGGTAGGGGGTGGAATCTCCATCCTTATAGGTTTTGAAGTCTTGGCTTGACAATGCCCTGGCTGGGATGATTTAGTTGGGATTTGTCCTGCTTTGGGCAGGGGGCTGGACTTGATGACCTCCTGAGGTCTCTTCCAGCCCTAGGATTTTCTATGAATGGTCACATTTCCAATCATCCCAGTTAGAGCCATTATATAGGTTGGACCTCCCTGATCTGACACCCTTGGGACCTGACCCATCCTGAATGAGAGGATTTGCTAGACCAGTGGAGGTCCTGGCAAGGGCTCCCGGCTGGCCCTGCTGCTGCTTGGTTGTCTGTGGTACCCTGGGTTGGAGTTCTCTGACTGCTTCCAGGGCTTAAGCTGCACGGCTGCCACCGGGGCTGGAGCTCCCTGATTGCCGCCAGGAATGGAGCTCCGCGACCAGGTCTAGATCTCCACAGCCAAGGCCAGACTCCGCTCTGGTGCAGCTGCTAGAGCCAGAACTTCCTGCTGTGCTATTTCCTCCCCACCCTCCCAACATTAAGGTTAAGGGAACTACAATCTTTACTCGGTTTTGCAAGCAGTCCTTAGGTAAATGCAAAAATCACCATTGTTTTAAAGAATGCATAATGATTATACTGATTGCATAACAGCTTTCTGTAAGTTTACAGAGTTCGTATAGCCGTGCTTGAAAGAAGTGAGATTTTCATTGTACTGGTGCATGTGTAAGACTGACGCATTTACATCCGTATATTTTCATGAGATATGAGCTGGTAACTCATAAGCAGAAGAGAAAAATGATCTTGTCTATTGTGATATTGCTTGTTTTCTTTATGTTTCTTGAGTATAGAACTGTATTCTATGTGCAGGCCCTAAGCAAGAAACAGTTAATGATTTCTGGAGGATGATATGGGAGCAGAAATCTGCAATTATTGTTATGTTAACAAACTTGAAAGAAAGAAAAGAGGTAAATAACTTTTATTTCCGTTTCAATTAGCCTATTTTGAAATAGTCCCTGCAGTGTGCTGCTTAGAGTCTGGCTGTTAATGGCTTTCACCACTTCCTTTTCCAGTAATTTCAGAGGTCTCTGCTAAAAATGTAGTTGTAACTTACGAAATTTCAAGATTATAAATATTCCTGGCTAACTGATTTCCTCATAACTAATCTTTTATCATGTGCTACTGTGATCCACACACCTGGTCTGTGTGGTTCACAGTCCTATGTAGTGGCGCTAAACCACTTACAGCAAGAGATAAGAATGAGTGAAGTCTACAGCCTAAGCTGCTAGCCAGCTGGCTTTATAGCTCAAACTGTAGAGGCTCATACACTAAGGTCCAAAGGTCCGTGGTTTGGTTCTGCCTGCAGGTGGTTACACTACAATGCCTCACCAGCAGACTTTGAGTCCAAGGCAAATTGAAAGTATGGTCTTTTTGGCTTCTGCTGCAATGTATGTATTCTGTAGACTGGCTCTATAGCAGTGGTTCCCACACTTCTTGGCCTGTGGCCCATCCAGCTCCATGTAAACCTTTCCATGGACTACCGGTTGCTCATTGAAACTCACCGTTAATTATATAAATATGCCTGAGTCCTTTTGCTAGTGCTGCAGCTAAGGAGAATCATTTAATTTAACCAGTAAGAAAGGAAATATTAATTGAAATTATTAAACAGATTAAGCACTTTAACTTTCTTGTGTTAGTTTACCAAACTTCACTTAAATAAAGTAAAATATTAATTTATGTCCAACACAAAAGTTTTCAACATTGTCTTTAGCTATGGCAGGGGTGGGGGCCACTGACCTATAGAAAAATCAGTTGGGGAGCCACACAAGTCAGAAGCAAAAAGAACCCCTCCAAATCCTCTCAACCCTCACTGATGAGGCCTCCAAGTGAGACACTTCATTCCCCTGGCACTCTAGCCCTGGAGTGGGGGGAGGCATAGGGAAGACAGAGGTTCAGGGCTTCTCATAAACCAGGTTAACTCTTCTGGAGTTCCAGGGTTACAGGATTTTGTAGACACCCCCAGGCTTTAGGGTAAAAAAATGAGGGGTTCAGTGTGCATGCCAGGGCTGCCAGTGTGTGGGATAGGGGTGCAGGATCTAAGTGGGAGGTAGGGTACAGGAGCAGGTTAACAATAGGTTGTCTGGCCAGGGAGAGAGTGCAGAGTCTGGCCAGGAGGGAGGGTGCAAGAGCAAGGGAGGATGCAGGAGCAGGCTGGGGGTAGAGAGTCTGGTCAAGGGAAGAGGGTACAGGAGTGGGTTGGGATGCGGAGTCTTGGCAGGGGAGTGCATGAGTGGCTGGGCATGAATGAGAGGAGAGCACTTACTTTCACGCTCTGCGCTTCTCCCAGGCACAGTGTCCCAGGCATGGCCTCTCTCTCCTCCTGTTGACCAGATTCTGGCCAATGGGAACAGGAGGAAAAGCCTCAAGGCATCGCATCCATGCGCTGCTGTTCTCCCAGTCAGGGGAAGGGGAATGGCAGTTCGTGGAGCCACTTCTGGCTTCACTTCTTTCCCATGACGCAGATGTGGTGGGACGAGTTGGGGCTTTCTCCCCTCCACAGCCGGAAGCCATGCTAATGCTCCAACCTCATGGGAGGGCCACTAGGTTGGAGCGCCACTGTGGGCTCCCCGTTGTGGGGGAAAGGGGAGCTGAACTCAAGCCGCAGATCACCTGCAAGGCATCCCCAGACCCCAGTTTGAGAACCATTGCTCTATAGGCTGAATTGAGAATAGGAATGAATGTTGAATCTACATTACTCTTTTAAAAGTGTTCAGTGAAAAAATATTACATTCAGACTGTGATTGCTACAATGGGACATGGCTAATTTGAAAATAACCTATTTTGCTGTGAAAGGCTGGGTTACAACTTTCTGTGGTTTGTTATCCTTGCATCTCCTCCCCTCTGTTCTTATTTCATATGTATCCTTCCTTGTGTGCAGGTTAAATAATAAAATTAACCGAAATCATTGCTGGCTAATACTTCAGAGCTCAAAAATATTACACATTTAACTTCTCTACTGGCTTACCAGAAGCAAATTGATAAAAAGCCTGATAAAACATTTACCAATGCACCATTACAAATGTGCTCTTGAGTGATTTTGTTTTAAATGCCTTTTTATCCTCGCAGACTAGTTAGTTACATATTCCAAATACTCGAAAATGCAGGTTTGGAGCTTGGATTCCTCAGTCACTACAAACTGCGAAGTTCAATGAAGGCAATATGCCAACTTACTGAAAACAATGTACCATGCTCTACTCTAGAGTAATCTTTCCTGCCGGTTAAAGAGCAGTGTCCATAAACTCCAAAATAATTCCCAACAATTCCTCCTTAAGAGCTAAGAATAATTATTTTAGACAGTGAGATTACATAGCATAAATATTTGAGATTGATGTTAATTAATTTACACAGCAGCTCTTTACAGTTTTATATATTTTATCAGAATAAGGAAAAGGTGCTTGTCTGATTGCTCCAATCAGCTATGAAGGAGCCTATTTGAGGCCGTCTCCCTTTCCTGTAATCTTAACATCACCAGCCTTTCTGCGTGGTCCCCATATCTCATTTGAACAGATTGGAGGCTCATTTCAGGCAAATACCAATTCATCAATAATGGTTGGTAAAAGGCTTATTCCACGGAAGGAGACATATTGCTATCCTCTACCCTTTTGCTAGAATCCCCATGCTACTCATGACTCTCAGCCCAGGTTATCTGACATTTCCCTCTTATTAACCAGATTTGTGGAGTGAAGGTGTTAAAATGTCAGTCAATGCATCCTATCAGAAAAATAAACAAAAAAAAGATGGAACAGTCATTAAAATAAAAAAAAAAACCATCAGCCTCCTTCATCACAATCTGGCTGCCAAAGAGCATGTGAAGACTCCATCCAAACCATATATTTCCCTTTGTGTCGTCTAATAATGCAGATAACTAACACTGAGAGCATGAGCACAAAGCCTTATATTCATGGCTTGTTTTAGATTAAAAACAACATCCTCCAAATATTCATAGAGGTTCAGTTTTATTACTTTAACATAAAAATAATTTTATAGCTGCATTCCATCAGTAATGGAGGTAGACATCGTATTTAAAAGTACTAAATGTATATCCTATATGTCTGCATAGGATAAGTGTCATCAATACTGGCCAGATCAAGGATGCTGGACTTATGGAAATATCAGAGTTTCTGTGGAAGATAGTATTGTTCTTGTGGACTACACCATTCGCAAGTTTTGTATTCAGTCCGTAAGTAATAGTACACTTGTTGCTCCATAAGATTGATTTTTATTTTTTTAAAGCAAAGTATAACAGAAATTCAGGCTTTTGTTTAAAATGAATTTAACTGGAAATTTATTTTTAATTAAAATTGAGTTGAAACATATATACTAAGAACAGTAAGTTTATGGAATCAATTTTCATCCGAGTTATTTGAGTAAGAGAGAATTATGCAAATGCTGGTGGCTGCATGGGACTTAAGTTTAAAGAGGTATCAGTCAGATTGGAGTCCTGTGAGTTAGAACCACTTTTGGAAGGTGTTTTCCACTTCCCTTCCCGCCCCCATATAGATTACGTGGTATTTGAGAGAAACTTAGGAGTGCATTTGCCTTTGTGCACATTTTTTTGAAGTTGTAGAAAGTTTTTAAATCATGAAAAATGTAAAAGATATTAAAATTATATAGAAATGGTAGAGTTTTTATCAAACCAGTCAAGACATGAACGGGCAAAAAGGTGAGGGGGGGGTTATAGTTTCCTGATTCTGTGCCATAGCTTGGCCCTAACAGTGGCTGGCAATTGCATGTTATCTGGGGATAGCTGGAGCCCATTGTGTTTTGTCCACCGTTCTTTCCCTCTCTTGACATGCCCCATGCACTAGAGACTGCAGTGAAGGAAACGTATAAATTGACTTCTCCATTTATGCTGTGAGGCATCTCCAGCTGAAGAGTTATGGTCCATCTTCCTTCCTTTTGTGCTTCCTGGCTGGTCTGAATTCCCCACAGCTCCTTCTAGTCTTACACTGCTATTTTACCAAGTTTATTTTCTAAAAAAGATTCTAATTGATTGTCCTGCCGAGCATAACCTTCACTATATAAAGTAAATGTGCTGGTGGCTTGCTTAGTATGCATTCAGATGGATTAATTCTTTCTCTATACAAGAATTTTCTCCTGTCTAACGTAATATTTTTAAAACTGCAAACCTTAGTTAAACTTAATCAGTGCAATGTTAATGTTTAGAGTAGGCCTTAGAATTGCAGCCAGGTTTTATCCTTTTTAAACTACCATGTTAAGTGTTATTTTATTCTCGTCTTCCACCTGTTACATGGCAGTTCTCTCTATCTTTGGGACTTTTTGCTTCCCAACAAATCAAAATGAGCTTAGAATGTATTTATAAAGCACTTTCGCATCATCTCTGGCTATCAACCAATATTAAAAGCAACTGCCACAGACCACTAGCCATCCCTGCAAGAGATATGTGGAGGTCACAGTCTCTTGAAATTAGGTCTCAAAAAGAAGCAAAACATTCTAGTCCCAAGTAGAGGAAAGAAGTCCTGGATTAGCTTTTCTACAAATCCAAATAAAATAAAACAAAAGGTAGCTTCTTTTCACATGGTCCACAGCTGTTAGTTCTATTCTTGAATGTTTAACAGGCACCAAAAATGGTCAAGCAATTTTTGAAAACTAGCTTCCTTCCTTTCTGCCCATTGAAGGAGTTTAACCACCTTTCTGGGTCAAACTGGAGAAGACACAGTCCATCACAAGAATATACATCTTTCATTGACCAATATCAGCTGTGGGAGACTTTCATCCACCACTGTGTCATATACCAAGCCATATGTACACTTGAAGGATAACAGTTAAGGCTCTTGAGGGCAAGTGGCAAAAGTTGGGGTTTTTACTAAGGACACCCTACGAGTGGCTGCCAGATAGTCAACCCTAAGAAGTTTCCCAGCTAATGGCAGCTGGTATCTTGCCACATAGGTAGAGGGGCATTTCTCAAGCCCTTGAGAGTAGGGATTGTATCTCTTGCATGTTTGCACAGTGCTTTTGGATCCTAATCTCAATTAGGGCCTTTGGGTTCTACCACAGTATAAATGTTTACTACCAGTAGTAGCCAGGACCCAAGCTACAGACAGCTGAATAGAGTAGTCACTTGGAAGTGCACAGAGAATCAGTGAAGCTCTCAGAAAATGGATATTACACGGCTGTCAGATTGGCAGCTGCATTCAGCACTAGCTATAGCTTCTGAGCAGTCCCTGTATAAAGTATATTGAAGCCATCGAATCTGGATACCAGTCAGGCATGTCTGTGTATAACAAGGGCCATATGAGAGAGGCTGCTATGACTCTTATTTAAAAAGCACTCTTGGCTAGGAAGTTCTATGATTAATATAGCCAAAAAAAAAAGTGTTATAAAATTCTTCTGGTTTGGAAATAACTGAGCATCTAGATGGCTTGTGGTATTTGGTGTCTTCCCCCTGTAGATTAATATTTCCAATTTTACTGTGGAACATGTTAGCAATGATTATCTTTGGTCACCTGTTGATGGAGACTGAGCAGCCTTTATGAAGCAAACTGATGGTGTTTGTCCTGTTTAAAGTGGAAGAAGTCTTCATGTGATAATTGGCACTGATTAGCAGTCAGAGATAGAGGCCAAGGGAGACTAAATTTACTATCTCAGCCTGGAGGATGTTCCTGTGGTGGAGCTTTCATTGCCATTGTCTGAGCTGCTCCTGTTCTGTGCTTAAACAGAGACCCTGGAGGTTTTTCGCCTTCCTCTGTAGCATGGGGTACAGATCACAGCTGGAGGATCTCTGCATCTTGGGGACTTCAAAGTATTTGAAGGCTTCAATATCTGAGATATAGGTGAGAGGATTATTCTAGGAGGAGTGGGTGAGATTCTGTGGCCTGTTCCGTGCAGGGGGTCAGACTAGATGATCATAATGGTTCCTTCTGACCTTAAAGTCTATGACTCTATGAGATGTGTCTCCGAGGTTGTCAAGGCTGTAGCTTTAATGGTTAGCTGTGAAAATGTAAATTAAAAATAAAAGGAGAAAAGCTACAGTATAAAGTTATAAGAAGGATATAATGTACTAGAGTAATCCATTGCTTCATATGGCGTGATGCCTTGCATCTGGTGATTTACCAGTATTAGATGTATGTTCAAATCCTTATCTGTGTTTTTTATGAAGCAGTTCATAGATAATTTAGCATATCGCATCTCTCAGTGGTATACATCCTGAAGTTCTTACTCAGACTAGCTCCAAGTGAGAGTTTTATCTGAGTGAGGATATAGCAAGAAATGAAGAAGTACTTCAGGAGTTGGCCTCTGGTTAATGGAAATTGTGAATCTTACTTCTCATGAACAGTACTTTGGTGATACTTAGATTTCAATGGCAAGGATATGGGTTAGTCAGACATGATAACTAATCCGTTTGCAACTCTTAATATGAAATGTCACACTCACAGCCTGTTTGTGTGTTTCTAGCAGCTTCATGATGGCTGTAAAATTCCAAGGCTTGTAACACAGCTCCATTTTACCAGCTGGCCTGATTTTGGTGTGCCTTTCACACCCATTGGGATGTTGAAGTTTCTAAAAAAAGTCAAAACATTGAATCCTTCACATGCTGGACCAATTGTGGTTCACTGTAGGTATGTACACCCTCTTTTAACCATTCTGTTTTGTAGGGCTTTAACAGTTTGTAAAGTGCTTGTGTATCCCAAAACTACATTTGTCTCTTCATTGAAAATGCCCCAGTTTGCATAAAAGTCAGAGTTTGTAAAAGTCATAGGTTCTATCATAACTGGGGGATAAATGAATGCAAAAATTCTGTCTTTTCCTCTCATTTTAATATTAAACTTCATCTTGTTGTTCCTAGAGTGATAGGCAATCTGACAAAAAAAAAAATTCCCCATCAGAAAAACAGATTGGTAACAAATGGACTCACTCTGCCATTGAATGGTCCTCAGAGAATACATCCCCCAGTTTTCTCACAGTAGAATTGCTGTTTGCTCTTACAATTTTCTCATTCTCTGCTAGATAGGTTGTAATGGTAGACTTGTACTTGAGATAATTTAACACTATGATGTTGGGAGTCTAGATGTCTAATTGCTTACATACTAATACACAGTGTGGTCCAGTTCCCGAGCAAACACTTGAGTCTCCTGCCAGTAAGTGGTTAATGATAAACCATTGAAAATGTACTATGGTAAAAATGAACAAAAATAGATTTGTTTTTGTAGAGGTTCAAAAAAAAGTTACAGCTTTTACATTCGGAGCTGCTGTATCTTAGACATCAAGAATTATGCTTTTCTCAGGAACAATATGTCTAAGATTAAATTAAAAAGAAAAATAATAGAATAGTGATTTTGTCCTTTTTTTAAGGAAATCACTTTTTCATTTTTCTTCTGTTGCATTATTTTCTGTTGCTTATGTTTGCTATTTATAGAAATTCTCAAGAGGCTTCAAAACATGTTCTTTTCAATTAGTGTCATTTACATATTAGGCATGTAAAGTCCCATTTAATTGGTTAATCAGTTTATCGTGATATTTGACCAGTTAATAGATTAAAGGTGTGGAGGCTGCTCCCGCCTGTCTGCGGTGGGTCCCGTGGGACTGAAGCAGCCTCCTGCCTGTGGCAGGAGCTGTCTTCAGTTAACCAGAACTGGTAAGGGTTAAGAGTGAGATGCTTGCTGGTTAACCCGTTAACCTTTCACATCCCTTGTGCATATACTTTTATCAGGCATCAGCAGGGGCACTAAAACAATTTGTAGAGGAGAGGTGCTGAGAGTTATTGAAGTAAACTGTAAACCCTGTGGATAATGAAAACCACTGCAAACCTGGGGGTGCTGCAGCACCCCCCTTCGCTACTATGAACGTGGTATAAATTCTTGTTCTCTCGAATGTGTGCACATCGCAAACATCTTTTTTAACATTTAGAAGGAAAAAGAAGATTTTTGTATTCGCTCCTGTTCCTCTTTGAGACATCCATATTTTTATATAGCATTGCTCAGATGTTCTACACAGAGTAAATAAAATTTAAATAAATTAATGGAGATTGCCTGTCTCCTAGAACTGGAAGGGACCTTGAAGGTCACTGAGTCTAGTCCCCTGCCTTCACAGCAGGACCAAGTACCATCCCTGGCAAATTTTTGCCTCAGATCCCTAAATGGCCTCCTCAAGGATTGAGCTCACAATGCTGGGTTTAGCAGGCCAGTGCTCATAATACTGAGGACATGCTTTATTGTTCACCAGCAAGAAACTCTGTTCTTAATCTAATTGACTAAAATGAACACTAGGCACTGGTCATAATAAAATAGCTCTTCTTAAAAAGAGGAAAAAAAAACAGATTAAGGAAGTTAAAAAGCGATTATCTGGCTAAAAGTATAGTTGATACAATTTGTATTGACTATATGATTAGTCGATAAGCGCCACTCTGCAGAGCTGTAGCAGGGGTAGTTCCAGAAGCTGACTCAAGACGGGACTGAGCAGAACTGGCTCGTACTAGCTCTGGAGCCACCTGTACAGTGGCTCTGCATTTTAAATGTAGTAAGAGCTTACCGATCAGCAGGAGCTGGCACTGTGCAGTCCTGGGTCATGCTGAGTCCAGCAGCCCCTGTTCACGGTGGACTGCCCTGTTCACTGCAAAGAGGGGCTGATGCAGCAGTAGCCTCTGCCTGCAGCCTGCCCTGGCCACCGCGAACAGTTTGATTGACGACCTCAGCCCCTGTCTTTATCTCTCTTATAAAGGCAGCAAGAAGGGGGGGAGCATCCAGTCGATTCACTATTCGACTATCAGATAAGCATTTGCTTATCTGATAGTCAACTAGTCGCTAACATCCCTAATGTAGCTATCTAAATGTAATGGTCCAAAACAGTGCAACAGCACTATTGAGAGTCACTGTGTTTTAGAACTTTAATACTGCTTGAAAAATGTAGACTGAAAATCATGGCATCTAATTTCCTTTGCAGTCCAGGATATGATGCCATTGAATTGTTGGAAAAAGGAAAGGGAAACTCATCCATAATGAGTAACACTGTATTTCTCTGTGGGCTTTTATAAAAACAACATACAGTGCTAAACACATAGTTTCTTACCAGAACAAACTAACTCAGCAACCACTCTGAAACTTCAGAACAAACATGATTTGAAATGCTTCTGACAGATTGGTGTTCATTTTTTTTAAATGCTACTTTCCCTATCAGCAATGGAAGCTAAGGAGGTCTGACAAAAAAAAATTCAAAAAGAGTCCATGAATAAGCAGAGGTTTAAGGTACAAGTCAATCAGAGAGCAGTAAACTGTTGAAAGAGACAGATGTCAGAGCTGAGGGAAGAGAGTAGAGTAGTCTTGTGGCAGAGAGGATAGTGAAGGAGTTAGAGAAAGAAGATACAACTGAAAACATAGATTGGGGAGTCTGTGGAGAAGAAAGAGGTTAGGGAGCAAGGGAATCAGAGTTTTAGAGCAGAGATAGATGCACAGAAAGGAGAAAAGGCACACTGAGAACTGAACATTAACAAGCTGTGTTCAGGGAGGGGGAAATTCGGAGACTGGTGAGAACAAGGAAATGGTGAAGACTCAGACAAGGAAGTAGGAGTGAGAAGCTGAGGGTATGCAAGGTAGAGCTCAAATATTAACAGAAATCAGAGGTAGAGGAAGTAAACTTACTCATAAATGTAGAAACTGATGTGCGAGCCACTAACTCCATAGATACCTTTCCCAACAAATGGTTAATAGAAGATGGGGGTTATAGGAGTGGGAGAGAGAAGGAGAAAGGAAACGATGAGAGAGGAGCAATGTCACTAGCACATCCTTCAAGCTAGGGTAAGTGATAAAAAGGCAAGTAAGAAGTTGGGCCTCACCAAGCAGAAAATTAAATATTTGCAGAGGAATCTTCCAGACATGAGGTGGTCATGGGCACTAATCTCTCTATTATAAGGATAATGTGTTTTGTGACATGTCATTATCAGTGGGAAGCTCTGCTGGTTTTAGTTTGTGCATTTCCACATTTTCACTAGTGGAATTTTTGTGATTAGTATTAAGTGAATTGTTTTACTTCTAGCAGACCATGCTAAGGGCTTAAGATTTTTAGGCAGCATGAATTTCTGTTCAAACAAAAATGGACACTATATGTGCACGTGCATGGTGGCATGCATGCTTTATTTAAGAAATTTTATAAAGGATTCTTAAACAATAAGGGATGCTTATTTGAATGCTGTATGTGACATACTTAAAAATGCAATAAATAAAGAAACTCCAACCCCATATAATACTCTGGAACCAGACAACAGGAAAATATATACCTGTTCACGCATCATACACATGGCAATAATTATGTTCTTTCTGTTTTGTATGTCTTTGAGAAAACTTTTGAGTGTTTGTAAAATGTTGATATGACTTCTGTGGAAAATGCTATAAATATAAAAACATTTCTAGTTCTCAAGAGAGCCATGGAAGGTTCATAAATTCACAAAGAATATTTTAGAGTTCTTATAATTGCCCATAAGTGCCTTTTGAATTAAACATTTATTCACTGAAGTCTAATTTCTGACTGTATTTTAAAACTAAGTTTTTAATGAAAGTCAACTTGAATCTGTCGGTGTATTGGAGGAAAAATACATTGGCATTTTTAGAAGGTGATACTATGACATGTTAATAGCCACGGGGCAAAATAAGCTAACAGAAGGTTAGAGGAAAGTTGTTAATGCCAAACACAGGATGCCATGCCCTTTTCCTCTGAAACGAAGAGTTGAAAATAATCTGTGATTGTATCATTTGTAGTAATCTTGCTCCCTCTGGTGGCAGCTGGAAGACATGTTATAAACAGTATTTTTGCATGGACATGTTAAAACCTTAGCACTTAAAAATGCTTAATACTTGCCAAATGTGTGACATTAAACATGTTACTTTGCTAATAGTAAACCAAAAAGATTTAATAAACACATTTAGCCTTTACCTTAGAGCTAATATCTAGGTCTGGTTGAAAAATGGGAAATATTTTGCGAATAAATTGTACCTTTTTTCCTTTTAAAATAAATTTTTAAATCATTTTTGCAACCCACCTCTAATTATACTCAAAAAAGATACATTTTGGTGAAAGCTTTCTAAAAAAATCACATTTGCTTTTTTTTTTAATCTATATTCAAAATTTTTCAACTAGCTCTCTAATATTACTATTTAAAATCAAAAGTGAATCTTAATGAAATATAATACCAATATGGATTTGTCTAATATAAACAAACTTTGGACTGGCTGTGAGTTACTTCTGTAATCTACCTGGACTTCATAGCTCACTTATGTGTCTCTTTTCTTTTTAAGTGCTGGTGTGGGTCGAACAGGCACATTTATAGTAATAGATGCGATGATAGAGATGATGCATGCTGAGCAGAAAGTTGGTGTTTTTGAGTTTGTTACAAAAATCCGTAATCAGCGCCCACAAATGGTTCAGACTGATGTAAGTAAGCGTAAACTTGTTTTGATCTTCTGTTCATTTGTCATGTTTGAAACAATACATTATTGTTTCCCAGACACTGGTGAATGTCTCAGTACTTCCTCCCTTCATTCATCCACAGCAGTAGTCATAATGGGAATAAGGCAAGCTGGGGGGTTGGGAGGGAGAGGATAGGTGGTAAGTCTCTTATGATTTGTTTCTGAACAGAATTCTGAGGGGACCGTTGCTGTGCTCCTCCCCATTTATGCTCACCTGTAGTACACAATGTGCGTAATGTAATAGGCTCAGACTGTGGCTATAATAACGGCTTCCTACGTCGACGCTATAGCCTGGATCGACATACACTGGTTGGGATAGATCCAATGGCAGTCAATTTAACGGCCTAGATAAGATCTGACAGATAGACTGCAGATTGCTCAGCAGTGAACCCCTCTACTCTATCCCAGACAAGAAGATTAAAGGAAATTGATGGAAAACTTTCTCCCATTGACTGCCCACAGCGTAGACCCTTTGGAAATGCAACCTAAAATATGTTGACTCCAACTACATTATTCACGTAGCTATAGTTGCGTTAACTTAGGTTGACTTTCAGCAGTAGTGTAGGTAAAGTCTTACTCTGTTAATCAGTAAAATGGCCTGTGTCAGATTTTTTTAAATAATATTTAATGTGATTGTTGCTTATTCATTCCAGATGCAGTATTCATTCATTTATCAAGCCTTACTAGAATACTACCTCTATGGCGACACAGAACTAGATGTGTCCTCCTTAGAAAAGCACCTTCAAGCATCACAGAACACAACACCACATCTTGTCAAAACAGGAGTAGAGGAAGAATTTAAAGTAAGTAAAAGAGGAGACTTGCACCCAGATTTTAGAGATCAGGCCAACAAGACAACATGGTATGTCGAGTATAATATGAAATGTCGCTGTATAAGACTATAAGTGCACTTGTGTCCCTGCACTGCTGACTGGAGAACTTTGGTAGTAATGTCCATTCAGCCTGTAGGCATGCTGTTCCCTCTCACTTTCTTCCACAAGGCTAACCAGTATTTCATGGATGTATCCTTTTTAGATCTTTCTCAAATGCTCCCAGCTTGAGATGAGTTGTGACCAGGCTGTTCATTGGATTGTTGACTCTATTAGAATTCAAATAGTGACCCAGATCTTTTCTTACAGTTCCTCTAAGGAAAAAAAAATAGCTAACTTTTCTGCTTGCCTGGGAATTGGTCCAGCATTGGATGTGCCTAGTTCACCAGTTGTGCAAACAGGCCAACCCAGTAGTGGACGGACATTTCTGCTGCTTTGGAGAAAGCCACATTTTCCCTGCAATTTAATTTGCCAATAATTAAAATCCAGATCTTGGAAGAACCAAAAATTGAGACTAAAACTCCTCATGAAGGCAGCTCTTCAGCCAATCTCCAGACCCATGCCAGGAGTCACCCAGGTGGCATGACTCTTCCCCATAGACATTGATGTCTAAGGACTGTGAGACAAGGAGACAACAACGGACCCCTCATGTAATGCTTTAAAAAAGAGAATTTTGAGTTCCTAGAGAGAACCCCAAACTAGCCTAAAACTTTTCTGGCATATTCGGTATCATCAATGTCAGTGGCATCAAAGCCATCCAGCTATGGTACTCATAGCTCATAAGGATCTTGTGTGGTAGGTACCATTGATGCACCTGAAGATTTGATGGGCACAGGAACCAAAGCAATGGTACTGATAGGAAAAGGTGGGGATAGGGACTGCACCGTCTCCAGGAAGATGCTGCCAGTACAGGTATTAACATCAGCATTGTCAATAGCATGCCATCCAGTGATAGAGCACCTGATATTGCACAAATCATCAACCCCCTCTGTGCCATCGATCTGGCACTGACAACAGCCATTGATAATGAGTATGATAGGACCTCAAGAGTTCAGATACTTGAACCATGTGGTATCTGAAATACCAGTCTCCTCTGCTCAGTATTGGGCCCTGGAACAGAGTTATCTGGAACACAGGAATCACCACTCATAACATGTCATAGATTTCCATTCTCTAGTAAAGAATTAGATAGTGAACAGGAGGAGATAATCTTCCATCACTTCTCTTGTAATCCTTATGATACTTGTAACCAACCCAGGTCCCCTCAATCATACCCTTCATCTATTCCTAATCCACCATAATATTGGTGTACACACTCCATGCCTCCCAAACATCCAGCATGGCCCAATGTAAGCCTTTAAAGCACTCTACCTCACCATGGTAAATAGAGCCTCTGAACATTCCAGAGAGATAACTTAGGAATGGGAGGTTGGATTTTAGGAGGCGGTTACTCCACAGATAAACATCTCTTCCTCCTCTCCAGATGAGATAGTGATGCCACCTCCACCATCTCTGGGAGACAACTTTAGGCTGTTTCAAAATCTGGATAACTGGTGTCAGACATTTTGCAGATACCTGTCGAGCAGCTAAAAACACTCACCATAAACATCTTACATTCCTCTTCTCCCTCCCAAATAGCCCTTCCCATCAATGTGCTTCTGGATCCAGAAAAACTCATATGGCAAACTCTGGCATCTGTTATGTCTACCTGTAAATGGGCGAATAAGAAATAATATCTTCCAGCTAAGGATATGGAATTTCTTTTTCCTTTTCCTTCCTAATTCAATTGTTGTGGTGGACACAGTGAACTCCCGAGGTCATCAACACTACACAAAGCCTCCATGACAAGTATTGGAAACAGAGAGAAAGGCCTATTCATCCACAAATATTTATGCATTGCTTATCTTTATTTTATGTACAAGATTAAAGGATGAAAATGACATGGAAACTGGAGTTGGACCCATATTATCTTTTCATTACACTGACAATGTCTTTAAAAAAAAAGACATGCAGGGTAGCTGGTGTGCCAGTCTAGTAGCTGGTGCAATGTGAGGAAAAGATTTCCATTACTTTGGATTATCTATGTTGGATAAAAAAAATATGAGCACACTTAAGCATCCTGCTGTGCTTCAGTATTTCTCAGGATATTGCCTTCAGTCTGCATGGCAAAGTTCATCTGTTTTCCTATACATGTGCAGAACATTGATTCAATTTTCCTTCTGGGCTGGCTCAAAAGGATGCTACAGACCATATAAATGGTAAGCCTCTATCTTGCTTGAAGAGCTTGGTTAAAGCACCTTTTGACCCCATCTGTTCTGCAAGACAGAATTGTGTTTTAACCATCTTGAAAGGTTGCTGGTACTCTCATGCAGTGGTTAGCATAGTCTAGACAACATCTCTGTAGTATGAACTCTGGGAAGATGGCTAATTAATGGTTAGAACTGCTGCAGAAACAAAATTGAGATTTATTATATAATCAACAGAGAACATTCAATCAAATATTCAAAAGTGCCCAGTGATTTTGTGTGCCTCAGTTTTTGAGTGCCAGTGTGTTGGGTCTGATTTTTCAGAAGCATGGATCACCTCTAACTCCCATTGAATTGAGTGGGAGTTGAGAGTGGTCAGTGCTTCTGAAAATCAAGCCCAAAATGCCTCAAACTGACTATGCAAAAACAGAAGTACACAAAAGTAGCCATTGCTGTAGAAAATTTTCAGTTTAAACTCTGTTGGTATCTCACTGAATTTCATTCATAACCTGAAATAGTCATTAATTTAACACAGTTTAAAGTAATTTATAATTTATATTCTTAGTTCAATTTTAGAGGGAGGACAGCAAAACGTTTTATATTAAGTTAAAATCAGCCTCATTTTGGATTGACCCTTAACAAAGTCACATGGGAGTCCTTAAGCGCATAGGTAATGAAGAACACTTGATGAGTATTAACTAGCCACATTAGTTTGTTTCATCTTAATCCATCAGTACATCAAATCATAACTCTTGTTTTCTTGTTTTCGTTGTAGAAATTAACAAATGTTCGAATAATGAAAGAAAACATGAGAACTGGCAATCTGCCAGCGAATATGAAGAAAGCCAGGGTCATCCAGATCATTCCATGTAAGATGAATTATTGTCTTTTACAATAGACACTATATGTACTTAAAGTTATAAATATGACAAAATGTTTTGCCACTGTAATAATTTGCTTAATGAGTAAATGCCAGTAACAGACGATGACAACAATATTGTGGTGAGCTCACCATTAGGTGTCACTGCTAGGGCTGAAATTTGGACAAACTAATTTGTGAATTTAACTCTCAGAAAAGATTGTGTGACTATATACAGAGTTGGAGTATTTATTGTCCTATTCAGAAGAAAAAGATTAAACTTTTTTCACTGTAAAGCACAAACCTATCCAACCCTTTTATATCATCAAGATTTTTTTTGTTCATCCATGCCAGAAGGACAGGCCATGGCTGTGACCTAAAAGTATCTGGTAGGCCCTGGTAGGGTTGCCAGGTATCCAGTTTTGAACTGGACAGTCCAGTATTTGAGCTTTCTGTTCAGGAAACAAATTGAGAAAATATAAATGTCCGTATTTTCTAAATAAGATGTAATATGAATTGTGATGTAATACCAAGTGTGTCCGGTATTTTTGTTGAAACCATCTGGCAACCTTAGGCCCTGACAGTAAATTGTATGGTGAAGGAATGGTGGGAGGTACTTAGTTTGGTACCAAGTTTCCCTCTAAACTGCACAGCTGCTTTATCAGCCCCTCCCAGTTAAGCAGCTCCATGCATGGAGCCCTGAGCCCCTGGTTGGGCAGGGCTGATTAAGCAGCTGCAGGGCTGTGCTGTCACATATCCTACAAGGAAAATTATCTGGTACTCTGGTGGGATGCTTCTCTTTGAATCCTTTTCCAATTCATTTTGTGCAGCAACTTTATTCCTTCCGTAGTGAATACCTGCACTGGACATCTGCAACAAGGAGGTGCAATCAAAATGCATGGCTGCCTTGCCTCTCACACAGTTCCCAGATTTTCTTTTTTCATTGCTGGTAACTAATGTGAATCGTATTTGCATCCAGTGTCTGTTCCGAGCCTGCCAGAAATATAAAGGTGCCTCAACTGGTCCCATCACAAACCTGTCCTTCCCTGACAGCTCAGGGTTGCTTCACTCTGTAGGCCCAGATATGAACTGCCCAATGACTTGGAGGCCCCACGTGTCCATCCAGTTTACAATACTTTGGACTTGCAGGCACACCATCACCCAATTGGCCCATGTGTGTGATCCTGAAAGTGGAAATACACACCAAATCCAATGGCTAAATCCATTGCCCCAGTTTTCAATAGCTGTAGCCTTATGGTTAAATGGCTGTTCCTCCTATTTGTATCCCCAGTAGGAAGCAATAGACCATTCTCCCAAGTCATGTCACTCTCCCCTCTAAGATCCCCAAAATGCAGCATCGGCAGAGGGGTGGTTAACATCACTCTTCCCATCTTCTCACCACCTACTGTACAGGAGCTCTTAAAGGGGCAGTACCTCTTTTCTTTCATCTCCTTTTTCTGGAAAAAGACCCTTTCACATGAACAGTGGTGGTAGGCAGTATGCGCCCCATCGGGGCTCTGTGTGTGGCCCATGAGACATTTGTTTACTATTGCCCACATGCAGGGTTTTCAGACTCGTCTGGTTTCCATCGGTATCGTTTTTTTTCCTACTGACATTACTAACGTGGCATGTACACAAAGCAAGAGCAAGTGAAGTGAGGTGTGTGCTGACTGCACACAACATTGAATTTAGGAGCTGGGCACTCCTCCTGCATCCAGTCAGTGCTATTATGGTTTAATCGACACACCCCTCAAATTCTAGGTAGGCAAATGCAGATTGTAAAACCACCCTATCCTGGGAGACCACCATGGTTACAACAGTCTGGTGGCCCATTAAGTTGAAGGAGGGTCACTCATGCAGCCCACTCATTAGCCTAGGTTGCCCACCGCTACACATGAAGGATGCAGAAGTGGGCACATTTTCTTTCTAGAGCCATATTTATTAAGTTTCAGGTAGCCTCCCTTTTCCTTTACTTTGCAGATACATATGTTCTAAAGGTTGTAGACCACTTAATATTGTTCAACCCATCACTATCTTAGTCATGTTATGAAGTGACATACAGTCTATACATATAGCAGTAGTTCTACTTCAGTTGGTTGTACAATATAGCACTTGTCTCTGCAACACTCATGCCAACAATCCCGTTGACTTGCTAGATTGAGCCTTATGTCACCGTTTCTGATTTTCAAAAAGGGAATTCTGTTGTTATATCTGTGAAAGTACAATAAAGCAATTAGTATATTATTAGCAAAGGAAAACTAATAATGTGGAGGTTTTTTTTGTTTTTTAGATGACTTTAATAGAGTGATTCTTTCAATGAAAAGAGGTCAAGAATATACAGACTACATAAATGCCTCCTTCATAGATGTAAGTACATAATTTTTGTACTTCAGTTGTTTGCAACTTGACTTATGGTATACAAGTGTTTTTAAAGAGACTTATCAACTTTGTTAAGAAACAGCATTTATGTTTTTGTCAAAAAACAAAAAGGTATGTGTGTTCAGGGGAAGCTTTGTGAGAGCAAATATAGATAGCTTTCCTCTCTCCCTTTGGTTTTTCAGTTTGGGAGAAAACAGTTTTTAGTAATTTAGTAGTTTAGTAGTTTCTAGCAACAGAAGTTAAATTTATGTATTTATATTTTATTATTAATATAAATTAATTAAGCTAAATAAATAAGATATAGTAAAAAACATATCTGAGACCTAGTTGGATCATTCTGTCACAAAAGCAGGGACGAAAGGTGATTTGGTGTAAAGGTGCTGAACTTGAACTCAGAAAACCTGGGTATAATTCCTGGCCTTGCAGCTAACTTACTATGGGCCTTGGGCACATTATTTAATCTGCCCTGTGTCTCACTCATAGTCTGTAAAATGGGAATAATACTTCTCTGCTTCACAGGGAAACAGGTAGGGATGTGGGGGACACTGAGATTGGTTCCAGAGCCCCAGGACAAAGGGAGACAGAGACTGAGAGCCTGTGAATACACGGAATATGGATGGAGAGAAGGGGAGGAGATGCAAATTGGGAGTGGTGAGAGTAGCAGCAGGGAGAGAACTCAGACATGGAACTGATGAAGGAAAATGGGACTTGCTGTACAAGGAGACTAGAACATGGATGTGTGAGAGAACTGGAGGCTATGTCTCACAGGGAGGGGAGAAGAGGACTGAGATGAGGAGCCAGGGTATGGAAGAGACAGGTTTACAATAGGACCAGGTTGATCTGAACAGAAACGGAAGGAATGGGCAGAAGAGCCTGAGACACCCAGAGCACACACTCCCTCAGTGTCTGGAATGGGACGGATCCTTGAACCTCACCATTTCTTTGCAGTCAATTGTTTTTTTAAATACTTAGGCAATTATATACAAACCAGAAAAACCTATAGTAAAAGATCATTATTAATGTTGCAAAGTCAAGTACCAAAAGATAGGAAATGTCAGAATTAAGGTTACCTGTGCAAAGTTCGTGGGGAAATTAATAATTGCTGTCTTCAGAGCAAGGTTTAAATAGTACACAGTGCATGAAATGTGAAACTGTATGTTAGAAAATGAGGTCAAATAGCTGCTCATTAGGTGGCCACCAAATGCACCGATTAAGGCAGAGGTCTTGTGGGGGGAAATAGTATGTGATCGTGTAATTAAGAACTACATCAAAATGTGTATGTACAATTGGATGAATTAAAGCTGCCCACACAGCCTTAATTCTAGCATTTTCCTCACTTTTGAGCCTTTGATTTTGCAGCCTTAATAATGTTCTAATGTAGTTTTAATGCAGTTTTTTGTGTGCGCTCATGCATTCATGAACAATGTATAGACCTGTAGATTTATATTAATACTGATTCATGCTTATATTTACTATGCAGTGACTGATTTAATGATGGGATTATCTTGACCTCTATGGTACTATTTGTCACCTTACAGTTAGCAGCACTGATAGCATATTCCTAGGCTGTGTCTAGACTGGCCAGTTTTTCTGGAAAATCAGCCGCTTTTCTGCCAGCTGTCTACACTGGCCGCTTGAATTTCCGCAAAAGCACTGACGATCTCATGTAAGATTTTCAGCGTTTTTGCGGAAATACTATGCTGCTCCCATTCAGGCAAAAGTCCTTTTGCGCAAAAGGGCCAGTGTAGACAGCTCAGCTTTGTTTTCCGCAAAAAAAGCCCCGATCGCGAAAATGGCGATCGGGGCTTTTTTGTGGAAAAGCACGTCTAGATTGGCACAGATGCTTTTCCGCAAATGTGCTTTTGCGGAAACGCATCCGTGCCAATCTAGATGCTCTTTTCCGAAAATGCTTTTAACAGAAAACTTTTCCGTTAAAAGCATTTCCGGAAAATCATGCCAGTCTAGACGTAGCCCAATAGCGTAGGACCTGTAGCAGCTGACTTGAACTGGTAGCAAATAAATACTCGGCTACCCCTCTGAATCTTTTGGTAGCAAATAGATATTATTAAAATGTAAAAAAAATGCATGTGCTTTAGAACAAAGGTTATCGACCTTTCTAGAATCAAGCTCCGACTCTTCCCTTTAACATTTTTAGTTGGACCCCTTCACCTCTTCAACCCACAATTTTTGCAGTAGTGAAAAAAGATATTTGTCTTTCCTCGTGCAGCCCCCCTGTTAAAGATTCACTTCTTACAGGAGAGTCAAAAACAGTAACCCACATAGCAGTGTGGCGTTGCAACACTGTGACTTATAATGGACGGACAACTGGGCCAAATTTGAATGGTTGTGTGAATGGCAGTGCCAAATGTCAACGCCGCTGACTCAAATTTGGCAGGGTTCACCATGATCCTGGAAAGTTTGATATGTCCTCTCCCCTGCCATAAATCTGTGCTTTAGAAAAAGTACAGAATCTTGCCAGTGGGCTAAATAAGAGAAGTCAGTAATGCTGATGTATGGAAAGAAAACTGCCCCTCCTCAGACCAGCGTGGTGGTTTGTGCCTGGCTTGAGTCAGCTCAAAGTGGGTAGGCAGCTCTTTGAAGGTGGGAACTTAGTTTTCAAAAACACCTCTTTTCAAACGGGACATATGTAGTTAGGAGCCTAATTCCTTTTGACTTTCAATGACTTTTCAGTGTATTCATTTTTAAAAATGGGACTTACTCATAAATCATGCAAGTACTTTTGAAAGGTTTAGCTCGTATCTTAAATATCTGTTTGGTGCGCCACAGGAGTAGTACGTTCCCCAAAAGCTCTTGCCATATTGCCTCCAAGACAGTTCTGCCTCAAATAGTTCTGGTGCTGCAATTGCTTGCTTTTAGCACAAACATTGAGTTAATTTTTCTGCCAGCTGAACTCTGCACCATTGCATGAATCAGGCTCAAGGATGCACAGTTAGTAGATAGCCTACAAACATAGGTGAGTTTTATAGAATGTTAGAACATTATAACAGAAATATTAGCTGTCCTAAAAGACATTCTCTAGCTCAACTACAATTTATGGCCCTGATGAAAGAATTATGGGATGAAATTCTATGACTTGCACAAGTCCATTCCAATGTAGGTGATTCACAAGCAGTTGCGCTGGAGATGGCTTCAGAAATTAAGGGGTGACAAATTGTAACACACTCTGACCAATGGCAGCATTGTCTCTGGCCTGTTGTGTAATGGCATAGTGTGTTGTAAACATGTGACCCAATGACTAAGTTACTGTTGTACAGGTGTCCTGAATTGGATCTTCTAATAAAAAAGCAGAAGATCCCATAGAATGGTCCATTATATTAGATAGGGTTAGGATGCCCCTGATACACAAATTAATCCACAGCAAGATTCTCTGTGCAGAAACAGAGAAATGTTTAATTCTTTCTGCTATCACTATGAACAGCTGAGTGGATCTGTGGAATAGTTCTCTTTATGTAGAAAATAGAGGCACATTGAACATCCAACAAGTGGAGGTGCTATTCCCTTTATTTGCTTGCATCTTTTGGTAAGACACTGGCAGAAAAATTGCTTAACTGCAATGGAATTGCAAGACAACTTTTGGAAGGAGAGACAGGTATGGTCGGAACTGGACCTTGTCCTTGAGAAATACCATATATGGAGGGTTCCGAAGTGAAAACTCAGAGCTTCAAAACCTAATCTAGCTAAAGTGATGGCCACCAGGCAGGCTACTTTCCAGGAGAGGTGTAACAATGAGCATGTTGCCAGAAGTCCAAACAGGAGTCCCTTGACTTTTGACGGAACGAGGTTAAAGTCCCATTTGGGACCTAAAACCCTGACCTGGAAGTACACCATGTCTAGTCCTTTGGGAAACTGCATAACCATATTGTGTTAAAAGATGGAGCAATTGTTGATCTTGGGATAGAAGGTTAAGATATCCTCTAAATGGACCTTGTCTGAGGAAAGGACTAGGCCTTATTGTCCTCACAGAGGTAAGTAGTCTGGAAAGAGTTGAAGGGATGACAAAAGAGCACGACTTGTCATTGGGAACACCAGATGGAGAACTGCTTCCATTTTTCAAGGTAGGTAGTTCTGGTGGATGGCTTTCTACTGCACATTAGGAGCTCACAGATTTAGTCCTCTGAATTCAGCCATGGAGCTTCCAGGCTATCAGGTAAAGAGACATAAGGTTTTGATGCCACCGCTGCGATCTCAAGTCTGGGTACAAGAGAAGCTCTACTGGTGTCTCCACCAACATGCCTAGAGGGGTGGAGAACCAGTGTTGCCTGGGTCATGCTGGGGCTATGAGGATGATGCTTGATCTTCCTTGATCTTCATAAAAACCTTGTGAATGAATGTGATAGAAAGAATTGCGTAGCACAGGTTCTTTATTCATAGTAGCAGGTGGTGCTTTATTCATAGTAACAGGAATGCATTTGCAAGAGACCCTGACTGAATCTTCTCAGGGAGCAGAACTGGTAATGTTCCCTATTGGTTCAGGGGGCAAACAGGATTAGAAAGGGAGTCCCCCACCATTGAAAGATGTTCCTCATAATCAGGGTTTGTCTAAACGTGGCAAGCCCCGCTCGCCAGCCGCACTGTCCAGCGATCTGCGCGTGTGCAGACTGCCCGAACCCGGCTCTTCCGGGTTGCAATCTACTCGCCGCGGGCAAGTAGATTGTATTATTTGTCGAGCCCTGCTCATAATGTCTGGAGAGAGAAACTATTCACAGTGAGACGTGAAAGACATGCTGAGGTGATCTGCTAACTGGTTCTGAATCCCAAGAAGATAAGATGCTTCTAGATAGAATGATCAATTCAGACCTCTCACAGATGGATTGTTTCCTGGCACAGAGTGAATAACAAGCTCTGCTACACTTGTTTATGTAGAACATAGCTGTCGTATTATCCTTAAATATCTAAATGAATTTACTTGTCAGGTAAGTTAGAAACACCTGGCAAGATAGGCATTCTGCCCTGAGCTCTCCCTGACA